CATCGCCCACACCATGAGTCACGCACGTGCCCCCCATTTTCTGTGACCCTACGCCGTTCGGTACGCTGCTCACCAGCTGAACCTCTGGCCACGTGTCTCTCGGCCAGAGGTTTCACCGACCAGTCTTTGGACCGGGTCCCCTGGTGCTGCGTCGCGTTTTCGTGTCTGGGGTTGCTTGGCACTTGTTCGCGACACCTCCGCGGACAAGATCTCGCCTCGCGCCGTTCCCTGTGTCTTCCTTGGTTTCCCAGAGGACTCCTCTGACTTCACCCTTTATCACCCACCCTCCCACCGGTTCTTTGACTCTCGTGACGTCCGTTTCGACGAGTCTGTCCCCTACTACGTCAGGTACCCCTGTCAAGGTCTCCCAGTTCCTCCTCCCCCTCTCTTCTCGACTTCTGCTCCCCCGGTACAGCCTCCCCCCCTGGTCCAGCCCCGTCAGGTGTGTCCCACGCTACCCCTCCCCCCTCGGTAGCCCCTCAGGTGCAGCCTCCTTCCCCGCAGTCCTCCTCACAGCCTACTGCAGACCCTGCGGGAGCCGGTGTTCGTGGCGAGGACCCGGGAGGTGCTAGCTCTAGGAGAGTTGGAGTTGGAGCTGAGAGCGTACCTGTCCGAGGTACTGGTTCTGGGGGTGCTGGAGCTAGAGCTGAGCCCGTGGCTGCAGGAGACTCTAGTCTTCGGGGAGCTGGTGTTAGACGAGTTGTCCCTGGGGGTGCTACGACTGGGGGTGCACCCTCTGCTGGACCTGGAGAGCCTGGGACTGACCCTGTTACTTCTATTGGTGTTGGCTCTGGGGGTGGTGCGGCTGGTGCCTTGGAGGGTAGACCTGGGGCTGCTCCTGCCATGGACGCTACTCTGCGCCTGCACCCCTACCCGACCCGGCACCAGGCCTGTCTTCGCTATGCACGTGAGGAGCAGCTGGAGTTGGAGAGAGAGAGCCTCGAGCTGGAGAGGCAGCTGCTGGAGCTACGTCAGCTGGAGGAGCAGCAACAGCGTGAGCAGCAGCAGCCGCAGCAGCAGCACCAGCAGCAGCACCAGCAGCAGCAGCAGCCGCAGCCGGAGGAGCAGCCGCAGCACCAGTAGCAGCAGCCGCCGCTGGAGGAGTAGCAGCCGCAGCCGCATCAGGAGCAGCAGCAGCAGCCACCTCCTTCTCCTGTCTCTGGTCTTCAGACCCTCGATCTCCCCTCTCCCGCTCCTCCCTCCCCCTCTCCTCCTGTCTCCGGTCCCCACTTCCTCCTCCTGACCCCTCCCCAGCTGTTTTCCCTCGTTCTCAGCCTCCGTTGTCCCCTCCTCTTTCTCACACTTGGGCCTCTCGTAGCTCGTGCTCGTCCCTCGTCCCCTGTTCCTGTCACTAACCTTCGTACTGCCCTGTTTCGTTCTAGTCCGCCTCGTTCGTCTCCATCTGTCCTTCCTTCTCCTCCTGAGTCGGCCCTCACTGCTTCCCTCTCTACTCCTGTCACAGACTACTACCGCACGTACCGTCCTGTTCTCTCTCGTGTTCTCGCCTCTCTTGTTACCGACCCTCGTGCCTCTCTGTCCTCTGTCTCCGCTCTTACTGCCGCAGTCACTGATTTTGCCTCTACTCGCCGTCTTGACGCCACCAGTCTTCTGTCTGCTCCTCCTACCAGTCCTCTGGCCGTCGGGGGTGAGTCTGCCCTTGGCTGTGACGCCCTAGAGGACAAGCAGTTTGAGCTAGAGTTACTGGCATCCGCTTCCCCACATCTATTTGCCATGCTGCTCGCCCCTGAGGGAGACCCCGACGCCCTTGACATACCGATTCCTCGCACTTACACTGAGGTAGTGTTAGGGCCTTGAGCCTCTCAGTGGAGAGCTGCCATGGACGCAGAGATGGCCTCCTACAGATCCACAGGCACCTACATCGACGAGGTTCCCCCCCTTCAAGTGTCGATGACAAGATGCCTTCGAGGGGGGGCGAACGTAGTCGATGGCATGTGGATCTACAGGGTGAAGCGGCCACCGGGATCTCCTCCGGTCTTCAAGGCGCGCTACGTGGCTAGAGGTTTCAGTCAGCGCGAGGGAGTTGACTTCTTTCAGACCTTCGCGCCTACCCCGAAGATGACCACTCTTCGGGCGTTACTGCACGTAGCAGCAAGGAGAGACTACGAGCTACACTCTCTCGACTTCTCCACTGCCTTCCTTCAGGGTAGCCTACACGAGGAGGTCTGGTTGCGTCGTCCCTCCGCCTTCACTGGCACTTTCCCTCGTGGGATCCAATGGAGGCTGAGGCGACCGGTCTACGGTCTCCGTCAGGCTCCTCGTGAGTGGCACGACACCCTTCGTTCTACCCTGTCAGACCTCGGTTTCCAGCTATCTTTTGCCGACCCGTCGCTGTTCGTTCGTCGTGGCTCCACACCGTTCTTTGAACTAGTCTGCGTTAACGACCTGGTTTTCGCCACTGCTGACAGGGTTGCTTTGGCTGACGTGAAGTCCGAACTGTAGAAGAGACACACGTGCACTGACCTTGGTGAGCTACGCCACTACCTTGGCCTGCAGATCACCAGGGACTGAGCCGCTCGCACCATTGCAATCTCACAGTCACATATGGTGCAGCAGGTCCTTCAGCGGCTCGAGCTTCAGCACTCCACAGTAGACCACAGACTCACTGGACCCTTTCCTGACGAGCCGTTTGAGCCTAGTGGTCCCTACGCAGAGCTTGTGGGCTGCCTCATGTACCTGATGACTTGTACTCGCCCAGACCTCGCCTTCCCTCTCAGCATCCTTGCTCGCTTTGTTGCGCCAGGGAGACACCGTCCTGTTCACTGGACAGCAGCTGTGAGGGTGGCGAAGTACCTAGCGACGACATCAGGCGTGGGGCTGGTTCTTGGAGGGAGACAGTCTGTTGTACTTACTGGTCACTGTGACTCTTCTTACGCTGACGACGCTGAGACTCACAGGTCTACTCAGGGGTACTGTTTCAGCCTGGGCTCTGGAGCTGTTTCTTTGAGGCCCACCCGTTCCTCCTCAGTCGCGACCTCTACCGCTGAGGCTGAGATCTACGCTGGAGCCATGGCTGCACAGGAGCTGCGCTGGTTGAAGTTCTTGCTCACTGACCTTGGTGAGCGGCCGAGCTCTGCACCGACCTTGTTCACTGACAACAAGGCGTCGATTCTCCTCTGTCGTGAGCCGCGACTGGAGAGCAGAGTGAAGCACATCAACGTCAGGTACTTTCTTCTGCGAGAGTTGCAGAGGCGTGGACAGGCTCGCTTCGAGTTTGTGGAGTCCGAGGCCAACACTGCAGACATCTTCGCCAAGGCTCTTCCGCCTTTTGACTACCAAAGGTGTTGTGTGCAGTTAGGTCTCGTTGACACAGGTTCTTGTATTGCGTACTCTTGTGTTCTCTACTTGTTTTGTTTGTACACTTTGCATATACCTTCGTGAACTCTTGGACTAGCTATGTGGCTCTTTTGCTTGTGCTCAGAGTGTGTGATGACGTTGTGATCCACCCTGAGCTTTGCTTCTTTGAGACTGGTCTTGTGACCGTACTGTTTGGTCGTTGCATGGCACCCCTCACTTAGTGTGTCAAATGTTGTAGCATGTAGTGAGGTATGTTATGTGGGGTACAGCAGTTAGGGTTAGGTTTATGTACCCCAACCAACCTTAGTCAAACATCATTCAGTTCTTGACAGTTTTATTTGTTTTGCCTACAGGCAGCGAGCTCCGCCGGACGCAGTCATTTGTCCGTTGAAAATGGACAAGTATGTGTAGTGTTTGTGAGAGAGGTACCATGCAGCCATGCCTGCTGCACCGTTGAAAGTTGCCATGTGGGCACTTTGTCATAAATATGCGTGATGGCGAGGCGGCTCGCATGTTATCGACGCGAAATTACGGAAATCAAGGAATTCATATAGGCCCCCCTACGCGCACACTGTGACTATGTCAGGGTACAGCAAAAAAAACACCCAGTGGCCTCAGGGCCTGCAGGTTTAGAACACTCTGAAATCTCAGGGTGCTATAAAACAAACATCCTGAAATCACGGGCTTTGACCACATATCCTGAAACTTCAGGGAAGGTGAGGTAGCTGAACCCTGAAATCGGGATAGTCAGGGTATTTTACCCTGATATCATAGACCCTGGTGTGGCGTGTTTTGTCTTCGTGACAGCGTGACTGCGACAAGGTACCGTCATACCCCGGATAGAAGCGCAGGCCTCGGATAAGCGCCGGCGCTTATAAAGGGATGAGGGCGCTTATAAAGGGATGAGGGCGCTTATATCCGGTCCTCGATTATAAGCGCACCCCCTAAAAATTTATGATTTATTATAAGCGCATGTCGAATATTATCTGAAAATCAGTCGAAACACATAAACGAATTTCACCTTACCAGGGAAGCGAAGTACAGCTCCACTTTCCTACTCAAGTCACTCTTGCTGCGCGTCTAGTCAGCACGCGCTGTCGCTTAGTCAGCATGTGTTGGCAGGGAATCAATCCCTGCCAAGTTGCTCGAGAGTCAAATTCGCGACCCCATATATTTTCGACTCGATTACAATTGGCAGAACGAGATCTACAATTTGGTGTTACAAAAAAACTTAATTTCATTTTGCCGTTATATAAACGCCGGCGCTTATAAATTTCCTCAATTATAAGCGCACCCCCTAAAAAACAGTGTTTTATTACAACCCCAGGGGCGCTTCTATCCGGGGTATGACGGTATGGGTGGTTGTGGAAGCATCTCCCTCCAGGGCAACTGTTGGCGTGTTGTATGAATACGACATGAAGAAAATCTGTTACGGGGTTTTTTCAGAGACCCCCCTGATGAATCCACGGAGGATGGCTGCTCGCCAGAATTTTATATTGTGAAACCAAAGCTACACTTTAGAGTAAGGGTCCTTGAACAACACACTTACAAAATCAGGTAATCCTGTAAAAGCGGCCCATAGTAAGGGCAAACAGGGTATTTTTACTTCTGTGTTGGCCACGCTGGTGGAGTAGGAAGAGCAACCAACCGGGCAGTGTGGCAGGAGAAGCCACTCCAGCAAAGCATCACGCCCAGTCAACAGGTGCTTTGAGCACCTTGACCAGCTCCTCCTCTGGCGAGCCTGGGTGCGGCTGCGCGTTGTAGCGCCACGCGATCAGCGGCGGGGCTGCACACGTGGACGGTGGGAGGGGAGGAAGGGAGGGGGACCGGACGGAAAGGGAACGGAGTTGAAGGGGGATGGATGAGAAGATTGGGATCCGGAGGGGATAGACTCAAATAAGTGAGAAGTTATTGCAATGAGCAAACACGACCCCTACAAGGGCGGTGGGGGGAGAGGATGATTGTTGTCGCTCTCCATCTAAACGGAACCCAAGTGCTCTGCTCTGCCCATCGACTTGAAATTACCCTGTCGCTGTGGTTCACCTGCATATCTACAACTCATCAGCACCCGTTCTTGCACTGCAATTCCCATCCCATCCCCGAACCCTCGAACATGGACCATGGACCAACCCACGAGCACCTTACAGTCATCCCATTGTTCTCCCCATCCCCATCCTTATCCCCATGCCCATGCCCATACCCATGCCCATGCCCATCCCCATGCCCATACCCATCCCCATGCCCATGCCCATCCCCATGCCCATGCCCATCCCCATGCCCATCCCCATGCCCATGCCCATGCCCATCCCCATCCCCATCCCCATCCCCATCCCCATCCCCATCCCCATCCCCATCCCCATGCCCATGCCCATGCCCTCCCTTCCTCCACCTCCTCCCTCCCCTCCCCTCCTCCACCCACACTAGGGTTGAGCAAAGGGTGAACACGAACATGTTCGTTATTTGAGCTCATTTTGGTTCATTTTGTTCTAGGCCCACGGCATTCCCGTGTGAAAATCACACGGGTTTACATTGGCATTGGTTTGCAGTAAACTCAAGTCGTGGCACCCGTTCCTCCCCCACCCTCCTGCCATTACCTTCATTTATGCCACTGCCATTACCTTCATTTATACCACTGCCATTACCTTCATTCATGCCACTGCCGTTACCTTCATTAATGCCACTGCCAGGACGTGTGGGAATCTGACCGCCAAAATGGCCCTTGGCGCCTTCAATCACAGGGCATTCGCGGTCAACACATTTATGCTTGTCACTGCTGGAAAGCGAACACCAACATGTTTGTGTTCGCACGCCTCGGCCAGCCGCGACGAACCAAACACTTTTGGCGGAAAAGAAAGAACTGTTCGGTTCGCCTCGAACATGTTCGTCCTTGTGCCCACACCTGACTCGCAACATGATGCCTCCCCCCCACCCACCTCCCCCCTCCCCTCTCCTCCCCCCTCTCACCGGAGACCATGATGGATTCAACCCGGCCGCTGCCATCCATGCCGAACTTAACCCCGCGGTCGTACAGCAGGTTGAACTCCAGGTACCGCCCGCGCCGCTCCAACTGCCACTGCCGCTGCGCCTCAGTGAACGCCAAGCCGCGCCGCCTCTCCACGATGGGCCAGAAGCTGTCCATGAAGCCGCGCGCCACGTCCACCGTGAAGCGATGTGCTCGCTCAAAGCCCTCCTCGTCTGCGCCACCACCGGCAGCAGCAGGTGCAGCGGCAGTAGCAGCAGCAGGGCCGAAGGCGAGGGGGGTGGGGGGGGGGATGGCGTCGAGGTCGTCGAAGAAGATGCCGCCCACCCCGCGGTGCTCCCTGCGCGCCGGCAGGTAGAAATAATTGTCGCACTGCGCCTTGGCCGCCCGGTACAGCGCCGGGTGGTAGCGGTCGCAGATGGAGCGGTAAAATGCGTGGAACTCCCGTATGTCCGATGGGAAGAGGTCTGGCGGGATGGGGGGACGTGTGGGGGTGAGGAGAAGGGATGTGAAGGTCAAGGGGGGGGGGGCATATGACGTGTTAGAAGGCATTGAGTCCCTGATGTCCGCCGGGACGAGGTCTGGGGGCGGAGGGGTAAGAGGAGTGAGGCAAAGGGATGAGAAGGAACGAGGGGGAGAGACAGGGGAGTGAGGCGGGTCGAAGCGGTGGAAGATGGCGCGGTACAAGGCGTAGAACTCCGTGATGTCTGCCAGGAAGGAGTCTGACAGGAGGGGGGTGCGCGGGGGTGAGGAGGGGCGAGGAGGGATGGTGAGGGAGAGAGGGGGGCTGAGCGGGGTGGTAGAAAGCGTGAAACTCACCAATGTTTATCAGAGATGGGATGAGGAGAGATGACATGGGAGGAGGTGTGGGATAAGGCGGGGGAGGAGATGGGATGAGGAGAGATGACATGGGAGGAGGTGTGGGATAAGGTGGGGGAGGAGATGGGATGAGGAGAGATGACATGGGAGGAGGTGTGGGATAAGGTGGGGGAGGAGATGGGATGAGGAGAGATGACATGGGAGGAGGTGTGGGATAAGGTGGGGGAGGAGATGGGATGAGGAGAGATGACATGGGAGGAGGTGTGGGATAAGGTGGGGGAGGAGATGGGATGAGGAGAGATGACATGGGAGGAGGTGTGGGATAAGGTGGGGGAGGAGATGGGATGAGGAGAGATGACATGGGAGGAGGTGTGGGATAAGGTGGGGGAGGAGATGGGATGAGGAGAGATGACATGGGAGGAGGTGTGGGATAAGGTGGGGGAGGAGATGGGATGAGGAGAGATGACATGGGAGGAGGTGTGGGATAAGGTGGGGGAGGAGATGGGATGAGGAGAGATGACATGGGAGGAGGTGTGGGATAAGGTGGGGGAGGAGATGGGATGAGGAGAGATGACATGGGAGGAGGTGTGGGATAAGGTGGGGGAGGAGATGGGATGAGGAGAGATGACATGGGAGGAGGTGTGGGATAAGGTGGGGGAGGAGATGGGATGAGGAGAGATGACATGGGAGGAGGTGTGGGATAAGGTGGGGGAGGAGATGGGATGAGGAGAGATGACATGGGAGGAGGTGTGGGATAAGGTGGGGGAGGAGATGGGATGAGGAGAGATGACATGGGAGGAGGTGTGGGATAAGGTGGGGGAGGAGATGGGATGAGGAGAGATGACATGGGAGGAGGTGTGGGATAAGGTGGGGGAGGAGATGGGATGAGGAGAGATGACATGGGAGGAGGTGTGGGATAAGGTGGGGGAGGAGATGGGATGAGGAGAGATGACATGGGAGGAGGTGTGGGATAAGGTGGGGGAGGAGATGGGATGAGGAGAGATGACATGGGAGGAGGTGTGGGATAAGGTGGGGGAGGAGATGGGATGAGGAGAGTTGACATGGGAGGAGGTGTGGGATAAGGTGGGGGAGGAGATGGGATGAGGAGAGATGACATGGGAGGAGGTGTGGGATAAGGTGGGGGAGGAGATGGGATGAGGAGAGATGACATGGGAGGAGGTGTGGGATAAGGTGGGGGAGGAGATGGGATGAGGAGAGTTGACATGGGAGGAGGTGTGGGATAAGGTGGGGGAGGAGATGGGATGAGGAGAGATGACATGGGAGGAGGTGTGGGATAAGGTGGGGGAGGAGATGGGATGAGGAGAGTTGACATGGGAGGAGGTGTGGGATAAGGTGGGGGAGGAGATGGGATGAGGAGAGATGACATGGGAGGAGGTGTGGGATAAGGTGGGGGAGGAGATGGGATGAGGAGAGATGACATGGGAGGAGGTGTGGGATAAGGTGGGGGAGGAGATGGGATGAGGAGAGATGACATGGGAGGAGGTGTGGGATAAGGTGGGGGAGGAGATGGGATGAGGAGAGATGACATGGGAGGAGGTGTGGGATAAGGTGGGGGAGGAGATGGGATGAGGAGAGATGACATGGGAGGAGGTGTGGGATAAGGTGGGGGAGGAGATGGGATGAGGAGAGATGACATGGGAGGAGGTGTGGGATAAGGTGGGGGAGGAGATGGGATGAGGAGAGATGACATGGGAGGAGGTGTGGGATAAGGTGGGGGAGGAGATGGGATGAGGAGAGTTGACATGGGAGGAGGTGTGGGATAAGGTGGGGGAGGAGATGGGATGAGGAGAGATGACATGGGAGGAGGTGTGGGATAAGGCGGGGGAGGAGATGGGATGAGGAGAGTTGACATGGGAGGAGGTGTGGGATAAGGTGGGGGAGGAGATGGGATGAGGAGAGATGACATGGGAGGAGGTGTGGGATAAGGTGGGGGAGGAGATGGGATGAGGAGAGATGACATGGGAGGAGGTGTGGGATAAGGTGGGGGAGGAGATGGGATGAGGAGAGATGACATGGGAGGAGGTGTGGGATAAGGTGGGGGAGGAGATGGGATGAGGAGAGTTGACATGGGAGGAGGTGTGGGATAAGGTGGGGGAGGAGATGGGATGAGGAGAGATGACATGGGAGGAGGTGTGGGATAAGGTGGGGGAGGAGATGGGATGAGGAGAGTTGACATGGGAGGAGGTGTGGGATAAGGTGGGGGAGGAGATGGGATGAGGAGAGATGACATGGGAGGAGGTGTGGGATAAGGTGGGGGAGGAGATGGGATGAGGAGAGATGACATGGGAGGAGGTGTGGGATAAGGTGGGGGAGGAGATGGGATGAGGAGAGATGACATGGGAGGAGGTGTGGGATAAGGTGGGGGAGGAGATGGGATGAGGAGAGATGACATGGGAGGAGGTGTGGGATAAGGTGGGGGAGGAGATGGGATGAGGAGAGATGACATGGGAGGAGGTGTGGGATAAGGTGGGGGAGGAGATGGGATGAGGAGAGATGACATGGGAGGAGGTGTGGGATAAGGTGGGGGAGGAGATGGGATGAGGAGAGATGACATGGGAGGAGGTGTGGGATAAGGTGGGGGAGGAGATGGGATGAGGAGAGATGACATGGGAGGAGGTGTGGGATAAGGTGGGGGAGGAGATGGGATGAGGAGAGATGACATGGGAGGAGGAGGTGGGAGGATAAGGTGGAGGAGATGAGATGGGATGAGGAGAGATGACATGGGAGGAGGTGTGGGATAAGGTGGGGGAGGAGATGGGATGAGGAGAGATGACATGGGAGGAGGTGTGGGATAAGGTGGGGGAGGAGATGGGATGAGGAGAGATGACATGGGAGGAGGTGTGGGATAAGGTGGGGGAGGAGATGGGATGAGGAGAGATGACATGGGAGGAGGTGTGGGATAAGGTGGGGGAGGAGATGGGATGAGGAGAGATGACATGGGAGGAGGTGTGGGATAAGGTGGGGGAGGAGATGGGATGAGGAGAGATGACATGGGAGGAGGTGTGGGATAAGGTGGGGGAGGAGATGGGATGAGGAGAGATGACATGGGAGGAGGTGTGGGATAAGGTGGGGGAGGCGATGGGATGAGGAGAGATGACATGGGAGGAGGTGTGGGATAAGGTGGGGGAGGAGATGGGATGAGGAGAGTTGACATGGGAGGAGGTGTGGGATAAGGTGGGGGAGGAGATGGGATGAGGAGAGTTGACATGGGAGGAGGTGTGGGATAAGGTGGGGGAGGAGATGGGATGAGGAGAGTTGACATGGGAGGCGGTGTGGGATAAGGTGGGGGAGGAGATGGGATGAGGAGAGATGACATGGGAGGAGGTGTGGGATAAGGTGGGGAGAGGAGATGGGATGAGGAGAGATGACATGGGAGGAGGTGTGGGATAAGGTGGGGGAGGAGATGGGATGAGGAGAGATGACATGGGAGGAGGTGTGGGATAAGGTGGGGAGGAGATGGGATGAGGAGAGATGACATGGGAGGAGGTGTGGGATAAGGTGGGGGAGGAGATGGGATGAGGAGAGATGACATGGGAGGAGGTGTGGGATAAGGTGGGGGAGGAGATGGGATGAGGAGAGATGACATGGGAGGAGGTGTGGGATAAGGTGGGGGAGGAGATGGGATGAGGAGAGATGACATGGGAGGAGGTGTGGGATAAGGTGGGGGAGGAGATGGGATGAGGAGAGTTGACATGGGAGGAGGTGTGGGATAAGGTGGGGGAGGAGATGGGATGGGAGGTGACATGGGAGGAGGTGTGGGATAAGGAGGGGGAGGAGATGGGATGAGGAGATGGGAGGAGGTGTGGGATAAGGTGGGGGAGGAGATGGGATGAGGAGAGATTGACATGGGAGGAGGTGTGGGATAAGGTGGGGGAGGAGATGGGATGAGGAGAGATGACATGGGAGGAGGTGTGGGATAAGGTGGGGGAGGAGATGGGATGAGGAGAGATGACATGGGAGGAGGTGTGGGATAAGGTGGGGGAGGAGATGGGATGAGGAGAGATGACATGGGAGGAGGTGTGGGATAAGGTGGGGGAGGAGATGGGATGAGGAGAGTTGACATGGGAGGAGGTGTGGGATAAGGTGGGGGAGGAGTGGGATGAGGGAGAGATGACATGGGAGGAGGTGTGGGATAAGGTGGGGGAGGAGATGGGATGAGGAGAGATGACATGGGAGGAGGTGTGGGATAAGGTGGGGGAGGAGATGGGATGAGGAGAGATGACATGGGAGGAGGTGTGGGATAAGGTGGGGGAGGAGATGGGATGAGGAGAGATGACATGGGAGGAGGTGTGGGATAAGGTGGGGGAGGAGATGGGATGAGGAGAGATGACATGGGAGGAGGTGTGGGATAAGGTGGGGGAGGAGATGGGATGAGGAGAGATGACATGGGAGGAGGTGTGGGATAAGGTGGGGGAGGAGATGGGATGAGGAGAGATGACATGGGAGGAGGTGTGGGATAAGGTGGGGGAGGAGATGGGATGAGGAGAGATGACATCGTAGGAGGTGTGGGATAAGGTGGGGGAGGAGATGGGATGAGGAGAGATGACATGGGAGGAGGTGTGGGATAAGGTGGGGGAGGAGATGGGATGAGGAGAGATGACATGGGAGGAGGTGTGGGATAAGGTGG